CCTTCATGTATTTCATAAATCAGGCATCTGTTACACAAATAGTGACTGTAAGTAACATACAACACAGAAAATAAATGGATTGAAATACAATGAATAAATGTTTTAGAAAAATAATTATGCATTCTTAAGGATAGGATTTTAAGGATAGGAAAAATAATTAAGGATAGGATTTTATTTATTTAGTGACTCAAAAAACTTGAAGTTAAAAGATTAAAGCTTCATTCCCTTTATCGCGGAATTTGTTGATTATAACTACAAGTGTTGAACATCAGCATAAATTAAAGATTTGCTCCTACATAACTACTTACAACTTTTCATTTTGTTCATAGCAAAGGGAACTCGAGAGCACTGACCCAAAAACTAACTGCAAGAAGAGTTCGAGTGATTTGTGCCTCCATTTTTCATAGACTTGGCCAAGTACCACCTTAACCAAAGACAAACTAAGGTTATGAAGGCATCTCCCAAAACATATAGTAAGACCTGTTTATAATAATAGCAAACAATTGTTATTTTCAGAATGGAATTACAATCCTGGTGAGGATTTGATTTGTTTAAAAAAATTAAATATTAACTGTTTTTAATAATTATACCCTGTATTAAAATTCAGGTAAATTTTATAAAAGCGTTTCAGATTATATATATATGAATTTTTAAAAAACCTCAATCATGGAATCAAATTCCCTCTTTGTTTCACACAGGTACACACAAAATATATACCCAAAGACTAGTACAATTTACTTAACTCATTATTTAGCCTACCATCTAGCCATTAATGTCTCATATCAAAGTGAACAATGATACATGTATTCATACATGTATTCATATCAACATGTATTTCAGACCACGCAAACAATAGCCAGAATTTTCTTAGGTAAAATTCCTTCTCCAAGTAGCTCCTTTTCCAGAAAATTCATAGTTCCAATCTTGCCTTTAATTCCTTGAATGCCTTGTGCATGTATAAACACATATGCACAAACACATCTATAAAACAAAATCCTCAAGATTCCGGAATTTAAAGTTGAATAACACACATAAAAATGAAACTATGATCTTCTTAGCCCGGATAAAGAATTTAATTTGAATCTTGCAGCAAAAATGGGCTAAAATTGCCTTCAAACATGGACTCTGAGGTATGTGTTGTTCTAACTGGAAGATGTGCAGGTTCTAAATGAGAATAAAACCTGTGGAGAACTATGTAAATACAGAAGCAGGTGAAACAGACTCATATTCAACCTTCTGGGCATCTCAAATAGCAAATAGACTTCATAGATGGAACATTTACAAGAGAAAGGCAAACTCAAGCATGTGTCCTGTAAATGCCTTAACAGCCTGAGTTTATAAAGAAGTTCAACTTATGGAACTTTTCTTCAAAAGATGCACACTTTCTATGAGGTTTGTGAAAGGATTATGGAGGCTGGCTTATTGTTTATGGCAACTGTAGCATAAAGACTTTTATAAGCTGGCATATATTAGCTTTTCGCTTTTCACTTTTTACAGACACATCAGCAAATTTTTCATGTAGGTAGACACAAATAAATCTGTGAATTTAGAACCTCTCACTTCAAAAAAATTAGAAAAAAATAAAAGGTGAGAACAGATACTTGTGACAGACATCCACCACATAATGTCAAAGCCCCACTACTAATGTTGACCCTTCCTAGATGTTTTTAAAGTACATTTCTGAAAATAAATTTACTCATTTAAAAACTACTATTTAGATTTTTGCTTTTATATTTTAAGAAAGACAACAGAGTTTTCAGGAAATCTAGCCTTTTATCTTGGCCAATGTTTTTATGGATCATTCTTACTGTTACTTGAGGTGAGCAATAACAAAGCAAAGCTCACAAAACAAATCCATGCAGTCAGGCCTTTCTTTCTGTGAGCCTACTATTGCTGCAGAGAGTGATAAAATATTTGCACTTCTACAACCCCAACGAGTGCTTCCTCCCTAATCCATAATCATTATGCATGCATTATTTCAACAGGCAGCTTTGAACAATTTGACTCTTAGGCTTCTCCGTCAAGAGCTTAAAAGGCTTTCACTTGCTCTATTCTTCTTTATTCTGCTACACAAAGAAAATTGCTGAGACACATCAAATACTGGGTTGCTAAAGATATTATCATATGAAACTTGCTTATTCAAACAACATGCTCTTCCTATAAAGTACAGAGCACAGACCCATGACATGTGGGATGACAACTTTGATGTACCCACAATGGGCGATGATGTCTCAGTGCACAGCCCCAGCTCATGTTTAAATGCACATCCTGTCTGATGCACTCTGGAAGCACTCTAACCCCACTTTTACAAGGGATTAACTTCCACTAAACTGGTGGAAACAGGACCCTTTTAATACATGTTCTGTATTTCTTTTGTGATAACTTGAATTTCAAATGGATATCTGGTTTGGGTTTTTGTTTTTGGTTTTTTGTTAGGTTTTTTGGTTTGTTTGGTTGGGTTTTTTTCCCCCAAGGAAGACTATCTTGTGTTTACAAACTATTTTCCAGGCATACACTTGTAAAAGACAGGACATACACATATTTTGACTTAAAGAAATCTTTGAAAACAGCAAGTAATTATTTAATGCATTCCGTTTTAGAAAGCTTTCCTATTTCAAAACAATATCTGGTAATCTTGCAAAGTCTGATAATACTCCAAAAGAACACTTTGTTTTTTTAAAATGTCTATCTTTTCAAAAATACAGGGAAATTTATAAACAAATTATTTTCAAATATGCTTTTGCTATAAATATGAGATTATTACTGTTGCAGTTTATTACATGTAACATGAAGCCTATTGTCTTCCCAGTGGCTGTGTGTTCAAAACTAATATAGTCCAACAGACAGGCATGACAGATGAGGAAACGCACTTAGACAAAAATAACTGAAGTGCGTCAATTGTTAAAATTTTGTTTGAGGCATTCTCTTTGTTTTCCAGAGAGAAAAGTACAATAAGAAAGATTCAACAGATGAATCAGTTATTAAAATAATCAACATGTCAATGCAAAGGAAATAAAATTATAAAAGCCTAATTGAAAACTGTAGAAAACTAGGATGCAAATTGTTCCAATTTGCTTCCATGTTGGAAGTATTTGCTGTGCAATAGAAAAAGTCAGTAATTCTCCTGATTCCCACACACAATAGCAAAACTACAGTTTGAGCAATTTTCTAAGGTAATTAAACAACAGGTATATACATTGTCTTGTTTCTAGACTTTTTTGTCTTGTTATTGAGCTATGATGAAAGCCTCTCAGAGCTAGAACTTCACTGTGTGCTTTTTCTTCTAGATGTGAAAACATGGCTTATTAGCTTGTGAAACATCTGCATGTTTTTATAAAAGCTGGTTCATTTAAAAGAAAAAAAATCAAGGCAAGCAACAGAAGCAGAAGAATTAAATAAGATTTTTTACATTATTATTATGACAAAAACTGTGTGAAGAAAAAGAAATGTTAAAAGAAAATGTCTCCTGTCAGTACATGAAATGTCAAAGTGCCCAGTCCCTTGCCAAACAAAAGCTAACTAGCACAAAGAGTATCAACAAGTTAAACCACAGCATGCGTTATTTCTCCCCTGAAATTCCCTCATTCTGTTCTGCAGGGATTTTATACTGCTTTTGCTTTGCTTCCCACTTTTGTTCCTGTCTCTTTCAACCATAATACCAGATTACAAGACAAGACCTGAATGTATTGTTTAGTTAGTTTGGAAATCCTGAACAATTCACCCTACAAATTAAAACAATGTCTTCAGTCACCTCACAGGTGATTTGGAGCTTCCAAAACTGGCATATCCAAGGAAACAGATCTTTTGGATAATGGCTGTCCTGAGGCACTCTAACAGAACTGTAAGTGAAGTAGAGGGAATGAAGAGGAAGGGAAGATTTGGGAAGAAAAAAATATGAAGGAGTCATAATGGTAGGCTTGAGAATACTAGGTGTAGGGATATTGAAGATATGCTGGTGAAAAAAAGAAAAAGAACACTTTTGATTTCGAAACACAAATTCTCTGAAGATTTGTTGAAGAATATTAGAAGATATAGAGGCAAATCAGTGGTGCTACAACACTGCAGACAAAATAATAAACTTTACCAAAAGTCAGCCTGAGAAGACTAAAAGCATAACACCGAAACCCAGCAACCTACTATAACATCAACAGTATGATTTCTGTGCTCAATTTATTTTTTTTTTTTCTGATTGGATTGAGAAGGGGTCTGGTTGAATCAGACAGCACAATTATAAACCTCTGTAACCTACAGATTTCACCCTCATTAGTGAATTCAGCCTCCTTGTCCTAACAAAGTCATGAACTTCAGTCTATGAACTAGCAGCATAAACTATAACGGCACCATCAGAGACTTCTGAGTGCAGCCTCTCAACAAGAATCTTTAGGACTTAAATTATTAGTTAGGATATTGAATATGGCACAGAAGATGAAAGTAGACAGCCCAAATTCTGTATATTAAAAGTGCTTGGTGTGTCACAACTTTAAACATCAGCAACAAAATTGAATATTTATTAATATTGCAATTTTGATTAAATATAAGCTAACATCAGATCTTGTTTCTAGTATTCTGGGAAGGCAAATAAAATCTGAAAGCCTAATTAAAGCATACACGAGTTGTTTTACAAATCATAAGGACAGGCTTACCTGAAAACATTTTACTTTTCTATATTCAGCTGTATAGCATTACTTCATTAATTAATAGGGACAGTACTGGGACTAAAGGTAGTTAATTTTAAATTCTATTAATGAAGACTATGAAAATCCACCCTAACAAAATCACAGCAGGCTAAGGCAGCATCAGATCTGTATGGCCTGGGACAAAGGCTAATCTGGAATTAAAAGGGATAATATGACTTATATAATAAGGGGCCAGAAAAAGGACATAAACAGATGCATATTTACGTGTAGCTATGAAGCTTATGAATATCTTGATTATCTTCTTTAAAACATCTGGTTACCTACATCTTGCAGAGGAACTATGGAAACAGAAGTAAAACATACCTGTATTAGAGAGAGATCCTCAAGCTTCAATCTGAAGAGGTAGTTTCTGGGGTTAAAAAAAATAGCAGATAAAAATGAATTGTTACTAATGTTTCAGTAAGAAAACCAAATGTTACCACTGTTTAAATAAAAATATGATCAATGACTATAAAGGCAGAAAAAAACCTGACAGGTATTCAGGACTTCAAGTTCTTTCAGAGGCTGTCTTAATATAGAGCCCTTTGGGATAAGGACTAAGCTAATTTCTAAAACAGATTTTCAGTCTGAAGAACTGGCTAAACATGAATAAAGTAGATATTTATATTGCATGCATGTATATCTGATTCATTGCTCCAGTCTTCCTTTAGAATCAATGGGAAGAAATACTCAGTGCTTTGGCAGATTCATGTCACCAGTGCTGGATGTCTGTGTCAGAATACGTGGACAGGCAGATTAAAGCTCTCCATCTCCCCACAAAGGTGGGAACCTCATGCAATTAGCTCAGTCACATATGTGTAAAGTTTGAAGAACAGGACCCCAGTATGATGGCGAATCTGTACGAGCCCCAGAGTTTTCACAATTTTGAGCAAAGTCTTGTCCTATGTGGTCTAATTTTTTCGAAGCCTAAGAATTTTTTCCCACAGACAGCAGAAGCTGCATGCAAACCAACAAGCACAGTTTTCAAAAGCCTGTGCATTTATTGCAAAATATTTACCACTCTGTCTTTTCTCTATGGCAGTATCAGAGCTAGGGAGGAGTCCAGACAAACCACAAGCAAGACATATTCCTTCTCTACCACTGTTTTCCTTATTTCTTAGTTCTTATCACACCTCTTTTTCTTCTTTTCATGATTCATTTTTTCTACTGCATCTTCACAGAAATAATACCCCTCAATCTTCTTCTGCCTGTTTTTTACCTTATTTAAAACAATTCTGATTTTCCAATGCTAATACAGAGGGATTATGTTTTAGACAAGAAAATAAAAAGGATTTAAAAATAATAATATAAATTACTTCAATCTTAATTTATTCACAACGAATACGTAACACCAATTTATACATTTTTTAAAAATTCATTGTGAGTAACAAAAAACCCACAGATGATAGAGATGAGCAAATTTAAACTTGAACTTTAAATATTTGTAATATTCATTATCTGCAATATTACATTCATATTTAAAATTAGGCCAAATTTTTTGAGATAATAATTCTAATTCATTCCAAAGAGATATGAGGTATTGTTAATGGGCGCAGATGGTTACAACCTGTAGTTTACATCCCTATTTTTTTTTTTAAATGAGACAGCAGGGAAGGAGAGAAGAACAAAATCAAATTGTGTCTAACTCAGAAACACAACCACCATGGCCATAATAGCCATCTTTATTCATAGACTCCCAGAAACAGCTATGAGTATTTATTCATTGGCTCTGGGATATATATGGTCTACTTAAATTGTGGCTGTACAGGAACCATGTCACTAGTATTACTAAATACCCAGGAGTATTGCTAAAGAGAATTACTCAAAATGCAGGGGGCACATTATTAAGGGCAAGAATTGGTGTGAAAGTAAAATAAAGACAGAATATTTATTATTGTACAGCTAAATCACCACAAAGAAATAGTTAAAACACTTGGGTCTGAGTCATGAAGGGACCTGAAGTGGGTAAACAAAGAAAACAGTATTTTGCAGAAATGTGTACACAAAGCTTCACCAACAAGTTACATAAAAGTCGACTTGAAAGATTTTTACCAAAACACTAGGAAGCAATGCATTATAGTCTTTCTAACACTACTACACTCCCTCTGTAAAGACAAAAAATACCTAAACTTCTGCAGAATTTCTTGCTCAGAAGTCTTCAGCAGGGAGCACAAATACTTGGACTGCTCCTCATTTTGGTGGATTTAAACTTCCATCACCCATCGCTGTACTTCTTTCACTCCAATATCAGAGAAACTGGCTTCACTGCTGCTGCAAAACAACTTTTTTTCTTCCAGAGAAATTCATCCTGCATCCTCAGCAGGTATAAACTGCTTTCTTAACTCAGTGGTATCAGACTCACAGGAATGGCACATAAATGCCCATTCTCACTCTACAAATAAATGCAGTCTCCATTGCAGAATATGTGAGCAGGCAGTCGGGTCTCACAAATTTAGTTTTCGGATCAGTACTTCATACAGATTTCAATTGCTATGTGTACTCCATCTTCAGATATCTGCTGAAAATTTATGCCAGTGAGGCCTTTTTAGGGCAGATTATCAAATTAATAATGTCTTTTTATCGTCAATTCTGATATCATTTCAGCCTATTAAAAAGTAAGCTATTGTCTCAAACGGTAAAGATTCTAAAGTAATAAATGCACAAACACAGTGCCAGTGAAGAAAAACACTCAACATTTTTCTTGTCTTTTTCTTCCTAGGAAATGAGATTTTTATCCTATTCAGTAGAGCACAACACTTCTACACATTAATATATTCGGTGTGAAATTAGAAAAATTGACCCTATAAGTGTTAGAGAGACTAAAATGTCCATATTCATGTGAATGATCAAGAGGCAGAGCTAATTAGTGTACATTTTTCAATTTCCTGTGGCTGCCAATAACCAATTAAAATATTTTTAGCTTTATAAACCCAGCAGAAAGAAAATTGAACAAGAAAAGCAATGTGCAAGAGACAGTAAAAACACCTTAGCAACATAAACTGGGCAAATGGACAGCACAGATTGACTGTGACTACATAAATAATCCTGGGCTAAGTGTCAAACTAGCACTCAGAGAGCAATCAGAGCTATTCCTGCCTAGATGTGCCCACTTCAGTAAAACTTGCAGGACTACATTTAGCTTTACAAATCCGACTGTTTAACATTCTAAAGTGTGCTTCACTAGCATGTGAGAACTTGTTCAGAAAGCACATATATGAGAAAAAAAAAAAGTAAAAGAAAATTAAAGAAATGAGCATGACAGTAAAAAAAACACAAAGGAAATGTGGCAATAAATCTGGCAGTCCAAAGAAAAAGTCATTGCCAATTTTCATGACGTGCAGAGCCATTATGCTCCTCACGAGACAGGTAACAACATTTTTTCAAAGTGTTATTGAGATTATGCCCTGGACTGCCATTTTTCAACCTCTGTTCAGCTTTATTCCAGTACATTTATGCTTTGAAGGCAACAAAGAATGAAAAAGAAAAATGAAATTACACTTCTGAAGCACAGATATGACCTCTTAGCACTCAGCCCTTCCTCTTTTCCAAATATGGTGGCAATAAGGAAGACAAATACAACTTTGCACGCTGGAACTAAACTGATTTGACACTGGCGGTAATTGGCAAATTTGTTTCCATTTGGTGCTTAATGAATGAGGAAAGCAAATATGTTACATAAATCTGCAAACAGAAGGACATTTAATGAGCAGAAAGCACAACCAACACTGAGATAAAACAGCATCCTCTGCTCCTTCAGAGATCCAGCAGGCAGTAAGTGTTTTGCTCTGCTTTCACAGCGCTGAACAACTCTTCTAGCTCAGCTGTTATAATTAAAACCCGTTAGTCAAGAGCCTGCTCCAACCCAAGGGTAAACACTTCCACTGGTATCAGCAGGAGCTGAATGAAAGCACACAAAAAGCACGCTCCAGTCACCTCCTTCACAATACAATTCAACCTATTGCAGTGAATACGTTCAGTATGAATACAGCTAAAAGTATAAAACTAATCTTCTGTATGTTCCTGAACAAGGCCAAGTCAAAAAAACAATCGAAAATGCATAAAGATTCAAAAGTTTATCATGTTAGCAATGGTTGTTAAATCCAGAATTTTACCCTTTTCTTTGTGAAATTGCAAGCTACAAAAGCTGAATGGAACAACAATAAATACTCTTCCATTAGACATAGACATGAATTAAAAGAATATTAAGATGGCACACACAGTTCAGGAAAACGTGGATTAAGTCTTTTTTTAAAAGACAACAAAATATATACCTTAATATCACAGAAAAGCTCCATAACCCATCCTAAACCCCCACATGCATTTGCAACTGAAAGCCTGAATCTATAAACAGGGGTTGCAGCAAACTCAGACACTCAAGGTATGACCAGACATGCTGCCAAATCTCCTGGAAATAAACAAAGATTCCTATTTTTTTCTTCTTTCAAGAAACTAATTCACATAAAAGAAGAAAATTTTATTCAATTCACAGGGAGAAAACAATAGTAAGATTGAAAATGTCAAGTATAAACTCTGCAGGAGTCAACTATTAAGCAAAATTTCACAATTCCACCATTAAGATTGTAAAGTTCTGGGTGAAAGGCAATTCCAGTTTTGCAGTATAGTAAAGTCAGCAAGTGGAAAGAAATTTGTTTTAAAAAATGTTAGGGGCTAAAAGAGATTATCAATATAAATAAAACTATTATGTACAAAATTTATTTGGTTAAATCATTACTTTATAGGAAAAATACCCCAAAAAGCCAAGGATGATGCACTGGAAATAAAAGAAGCCTAATCCAAGCGTGACCATGAAAATGGTCAAATTACAATAACAAAAAGCAGAATGGCCAAAAGTTATATATTATCTTCATTTTGCATGAAATGGAAGCCACAGAAAATAGGAATAATGAAATGGGAAGCTTACTGATAAATGCCAAGGATTTGAAAACAGCATATGCACAGACATAATTTTTTTCTGACTAGTAGGTCATGTTGATCCATCCTAAAAATTATGGAGAAGTGATTTTTGTTCTTTTTGGTTTTTTTGTTCTTATTGCTCTTTTTAAATAATTTCTAAAATTACAGGTTTGCTTGAGGAATGAAGACTAACCACATTTTATTAACTTTTAAAGTGGCAAAGGGAAGGCTCATGTAATCATAAGCTGACCGGTGAGACAGTGAGCTTGGCAAACAGAATAAGAAAAACATTATGAGAGTCAATTATGATAGAATCCAAATAAAAATTGAATTAATCCACTCAAGGGTGCTGTGAAATCTGATTTCCTTCTTTGGTGCTTTCTCCTCTGGATTAGTAAATCTTACTTTGCTACCCTGTGGCTTCTCAGATGGCCTCAGCAATGCTGGAGATCCTAG